TTTTATTGTACCCTGGAATTCATTGTCCTCGTGTGCCCTACAAGTCAACCAGCATACGGACAGTGTGATGTGGCGACCAGCAGGGCTGAGGTAAGGTAGCACACGCGCGCGCGCGCGCACACACACACACACACACACACACACACACACACACACACACACACACACACACACACACACACACACACACACACACACACACGTAGCATCATCTCCGAAGTGAATCACTACGCCTCTGGGTTTAGATGATGAAGGTTGCGGTGGTGTGGTGGGGGAGGTGAGGTGGCGCGCGCTAGGATTGAGGAGCAGTATGTACTCACCTAGTTGAGCTTGCGGGGAGCTCTTTGGGCCCGCCTCTCAACTGTTAATCAACTTCCCCCCACCCCCCAAGCACTCTCCTCCCCTCCCCCCAGGAAGCAGCTAACTCCTAGGTACCTATTTACTGCTAGATAACGGGCATCAAGGTGAAACAAAAGCTACCCATTTGTTTCCGCCTGCACCGGGGATCGATTCCCCGGTCCTTAGTAATATGGTGCTGTCCACTCAGCCACAGGCCCCCTAGACCTGTCTCTGTGTGTGTGTGTGTGTGTGTGTGTGTGTGTGTGTGTGTGTGTGTGTGTGTGTGTGTGTGTGTGTGTGTGTGTGTGTGTGTGTTCGCGAGCGAGCGAGCGAGCGAGCGAGCGAGAGAGAGAGAGAGAGAGAGAGAGAGAGAGAGAGAGAGAGAGAGAGAGAGAGAGAGAGAGAGAGAGAGGGGGGGAGAGGGGGGGCAGGAGGAGGGAGAGGGGGGGGAGAGGGGGGGCAGGGAGGGGGGGGGGGGGGAGGGGGGGGGGGGGGGGAGGAGGGGGGGGGGGGAGGGGGGGCAGGGAGGAGGGGGGGGGGAGGGGGGGCAGGGAGGAGGGGGGGGGGGGGGGGGGGCAGGGAGGAGGGAGGGGGGAGGGAGGAGGGGGGGAGGGGGGAGGGGAGGGGGGGGGAGGAAGGAGGGAGGGGGGGGGAAGAGAGGGGGAAGGTTATATCTTGAGGTTATCTTGAGATGATTTCGGGGCTTTTTTAGTGTCCCCACGGCCCGGTCCTCGACCAGGCCTCCACCCCCAGGAAGCAGCCCGTGACAGCTGACTAACTCCCAGGTACCTATTTACTGCTAGGTAACAGGGGCATTCAGGGTGAAAGAAACTTTGCCCATTTGTTTCTGCACGCTATCCACCAGGCTACGAGGTGGTGGTTAGAAGGGGAAGGGTTATTGTTGCCCAACAGTCACTACGGCTATACAGTTCTGGGTCATATATTCCACTGTGTAATCAAATCAGTAATTTATAATAATCACGAATGAGCAAAATGTAGACTATTATTTAAACATTCAACTATCAGCTGCTAACCTATAACGCAACAGATTAACAACTATATAGCTTAGCTATAAAAGACATACAAGCCTTATCGCAAGAAAAGCCTGGCCAGGGCTTTTAGGACTGACTCTCGGAACCGGCTTCAGGTAAATTCCAAGTAAGGACAGAATGTCAACGCAGTTTACTTCTCTCACACAAACAAAGGCGGCTGTGTCCACGTGACTGGCTTACGGAACTGTTACGTTCCCAAGGATGTCACGACCTCTGCACTACGGATGATTCGTGACGTCACCGCTCGGGGAACACATGGCATCAGCACTCGTTAAGATTTATGACCTCAACAGCACCCATGACGTCAACGCTCGAGGGAGAGCACCCATGACGTCAACGCTCGAGGGAGAGCACCCATGACGTCAACGCTCGAGGGAGAGCACCCATGACGTCAACGCTCGAGGGAGAGCACCCATGACGTCAACGCTCGAGGGAGAGCACCCATGACGTCAACGCTCGAGGGAGAGCACCCATGACGTCAACGCTCGAGGGAGAGCACCCATGACGTCAACGCTCGAGGGAGAGCACCCATGACGTCAACGCTCGAGGGAGAGCACCCATGACGTCAACGCTCGAGGGAGAGCACCCATGACGTCAACGCTCGAGGGAGAGCACCCATGACGTCAACGCTCGAGGGAGAGCACCCATGACGTCAACGCTCGAGGGAGAGCACCCATGACGTCAACGCTCGAGGGAGAGCACCCATGACGTCAACGCTCGAGGGAGAGCACCCATGACGTCAACGCTCGAGGGAGAGCACCCATGACGTCAACGCTCGAGGGAGAGCACCCATGACGTCAACGCTCGAGGGAGAGCACCCATGACGTCAACGCTCGAGGGAGAGCACCCATGACGTCAACGCTCGAGGGAGAGCACCCATGACGTCAACGCTCGAGGGAGAGCACCCATGACGTCAACGCTCGAGGGAGAGCACCCACTTGTTACGTCAGCTGTGCAAGGACTCATCCCATCACTCAGGGGAGCTGGTAACGTCAACACCCGTACTCCAGGCATAACACACGCACCAAGAGTGCATGGTAAACTTACCACGAGGCGGGAGAAGAACTCCCAGACCCCCACTCCAGGTATACTCTCCTGGTATACCAGACTAGATTCGGCGCTAAGAGGCTTCCTGTCCCCGTCAATGGTAAACTTTTACTGCATACCTTCTGCAATACTTCACCTTGCCTCACACCTGCTTATAAACCTCACACTTGCTTCTAAACCTCACACTTGCTTCTAAACCTCATACTTGCTGCCATACTTCACACTAACATATACCGTTGAAGTTCTCCACATTTTAACGCCATAACACCTTCAATACACATTTCCCATCACGAGTTCTGTAATTCCTGACATTTCAAATCATACTTTCTACAATTCTTCACAATTCACCTCATATTTTGTGCACATCCAACCTACATCAACTCCTTGACCCTGTATAGCCACGGCCTATAGCACCCTATACCTTGGCCACCCTCACCCCTGGAAAAGTGTGCAGTGTGTTTTTCAGCAGTCCAGTGTGTGGAGACCGGAGGAGCACGCGCGTGCAGTCAGCGGGCTGGTCGACAGGATGAGTGGGGGAGGGGGACACGGACACACACACACACACACACACACACACACACACACACACACACACACACACACACACACACACACACACACACACACACACACACCGTCCAGGAAGTGACTAACACGTCACACACCAGGTATTCAGCACCAACGCCGACTTCAACGAAGCTCCTGCGTTACTTGAAAAATACTGTAACAAGTTTTATAACGAACAGAATTGTTATTCGCAAAATATATATAAAAAAATATCATAACGGTATACGGAACAATTCGCAATAAACTATTAGATTTATTTTAATTATATACACAAGAGCGGAGACGATAAATCCCGTACAAATGTAACATGTTTATATTTTCAGGAAGACCATTTTACTTTCTGGGTCAACATCCCCGAAGCTCAGTCACTGACCTGGCCTCCTAGTTGGTGACAGTCTAGTGGTCAACCAGGCTGTTGGACGGAGCTGCTCGCAGTCTGACGTATGAGTTACAGTCTAGTTCATCAGGTATCCTTTGGAGGAGTTTATCAAGTTCTTTTTTGAACACAGTGAGAGGTTGTCCAGTTATGCCCCTTATGTGTAGAGAAGGTGTTGAGACGTGTTTGACCTTTGTTGATTGAGTTCTCTCTCAAAGTACCTATTGCATCTCTTCTTTTCAACGGGGGGGTATGCTGCACATCCTGCCATGCCTCGTTGGTCTCATGTGGTGTTGTTTCTGCGTGTAAACATGAAACCAGTCCTTCTAGTATTTTCCAAGTGTATCTATGTATCTCTCTTGCCTGCGCTCTATGGGAAAACAAATGTAAAAACTTTAATTGTTACCAATATTTTAGATGTTTTATCGAGTGGATTCTAGCATCAAAGGATCTTTGAACGATTTCCAGGTTTGAAATTTATCCAACTTTGAATGGAGCTGTTAGTGTGCAAGTTGTTCCTTACCATACCCCGAGTGTTGTTCACACACACCTCGCTCACTCCTCTATCCATTTCCGGCCACCTTCCCGACTCTCATCACCCCAAGTTCACTTTCACCTGTCTATCGTCATAAATCCGTTCAACATGCCCAAATTATTGACGGGAGACATCTCCCGTCACGCAGGGTGCAGTCGCACCTCCACAGATCTCCAGTATCATTTATTGATACTGGAAATGGCTCAAAAGGGCCACCACTTATGGGCTACCTCTTGGGTGGCTTAATCTTCTCTCTCTCCCAAATTATTTCAGTGTAGTCTCCCCCTAATCTACTAGTTTACTGACTTGGGCACTACATGTCTCTCCTTGACATTGTCTTTCCTCATTCTTTGACATACTTTTCACAGTGTCCATTTGTGCTGCTTTATCTTTTGATTTTCGTTCACGTTCATACCACATGATCGTCTTGAAGACCTCTGGCTACATTTATACCATTTGGTTTGTCATTAATATCACTTTCCTTCCCCAACTGACCTTGATTTTAGTTTCTAGTGTACAAATACATATTTTACCAATCGCACACCCTTACCGTGCAATGATTTCGGGGGTCAACGTCCCTGCGGCCCGGTCCTCGACCAGGCCTCCTCGTTGCTGGACTGGTCATCCAGGCGCTAAGCTACAAAAACACCTCAAGGTAACCTCAAGGTAACCTCAAGGTAACCTCAAGGTAACCTCAAGGTAAACTCAAGGTAAACTCAAGGTAAGGTAGTGAGTAATGGGCATAAGAAAATATATTTGTTTCCAGACATTTTCGTATGACCATCTTCCGGAAATGACCCGCGGCCGCCCATCTACACATCATTTATAACCCGAGTTCACTATGAAACTTGTTATGGGAAAATTTTTAAACCAAAACTACAACATTCATCGTTAATTCTTAATATTTTGTATATATTATCCATTACTTTCTCGCTTATACTAAGACTATATAAAGGTAATTTTTAAAAATCATTAATATTTATTTCTTATACGTGAAGAGAGCGGATGTCGCTGTTTGTTCGTCCAGAATACGCATGCGCACTCCTCCACATTCCCCCCCCCCTTCCCCTGTGGGAAGGTGAGAATGGCACACCAATCCCACAGCACCTTTGGGGGTCCACGGCAACACAACCCAACAGCACCTCTGGGGTCCACAGCCCACGGCACCTCTGGGGGCCCACAGCATCTCTGGGGGTCCACAGCGCCCACGGCACCTCTGGGGGTCCACAGCACCCACGGCACCTCTGGGGGGTCCACAGCACCTACGGCACCTCTGGGGGTTCACAGCGCCCCAGACACCTCTGGGGGTCCACAGCGCCCACGGCACCTCTGGGGGTCCACAGCGCCCACAGCACCTCTGGGGGTCCACAGCGCCCACAGCACCTCTGGGGGTCCACAGCACCTACGGCACCTCTCGGGGTCCACAGCGCCCACGGCACCTCTGGGGGTCCACAGCGCCCACAGCACCTCTGGGGTCCACAACGCCCACTGCACCTCTGGGGGTCCACAACGCCCACGGCACCTCTGGGGGTCCACAACGCCCACGGCACCTCTGGGGGTCCACAACGCCCACGGCACCTCTGGGGGTCCACAACGCCCACGGCACCTCTGGGGGTCCACAACGCCCACAGCACCTCTGGGGGTCCACAGCGCCCACAGCACCTCTGGGGGTCCACAGCGCCCACGGCACCTCTGGGGGTCCACAGCGCCCACGGCACCTCTGGGGGTCCACAGCGCCCACGGCACCTCTGGGGGTCCACAGCGCCCACGGCACCTCTGGGGGTCCACAGCGCCCACGGCACCTCTGGGGGTCCACAGCGCCCACGGCACCTCTGTGGGTCCACAGCGCCCACGGCACCTCTGGGGGTCCACAGCGCCCACGGCACCTCTGGGGGACCACAGCGCCCACGGCACCTCTGGGGGACCACAGCGCCCACGGCACCTCTGGGGGTCCACAGCGCCCACGGCACCTCTGGGGGTCCACAGCGCCCACGGCACCTCTGGGGGTCCACAGCGCCCACGGCACCTCTGGGGGTCCACAGCGCCCACGGCACCTCTGGGGGTCCACAGCGCCCACGGCACCTCTGGGGGTCCACAGCGCCCACGGCACCTCTGGGGGTCCACAGCGCCCACGGCACCTCTGGGGGTCCACAGCGCCCACGGCACCTCTGGGGGTCCACAGCGCCCACAGCACCTTTGGGGTCCACGGCAAGCAAGTGCAAAGTGAAGAAGATAACCGCAGGGAGCAGGAGGCCCAACACAAGGTACCAGCTGGGAGAGGAAATCCTCCAGGAGTCAGGACGAGAGAAAGATATCAGGGTTGATATCATATCAGACTTGTCCCTTGAAGTTATCAAAGAATAACATCAGCGGTGTATGCAAGACTGGCGAACATATGAACTGCCTTCAGAAACTTGTGTATGGAATCATTCAGAACCTTGTATACCTCATATGTCAGACCAATACTGAAGTATGTGACTCCAGCGTGGAGTCCACATCTAGTCAAACACAAAACGAAGTTAGGAAAGGGTCAGAGGTATGCCACCAAGCTAGTCTCCGAGCTGAGAGGTAAGAGCTATGAGGAAAGATTGTAGGAACTGAATCTTACGACACTGGAAGACATCATTTAGGGGAGACATGATCACTACCTATAAAATTCTCAGAGGAATTGACAGGGTAGATAAAGATAAATTGTTTAGCACGGTGAGACGCGAACAAGGGGACACAGGTGGAAACCTAGCACCCAAATGAGCCACAGGGACGTTAGAAAGAACTTTTTCAGTGTCAGAGTAGTTAACAGATGGAATGCATTAGGAAGGGATGTGGTGGTTACCTTACCTTGAGATGTTTTCGGGCCTTAGCGTCCCCGCGGCCCGGTCCTCGACCAGACCTCCTCGTTGCTAGACTGGTCAACCAGGCTGTTGGACGCGGCTGCTCGCAGCCTGGTTAATCACGTACTTTTGGAGGTGCTTGTCAAGTTCTGCTGCCTCTTGAGCATTGTGAGGGGTCGGCCAGATATGTCCCTTATGTGTAGCGGAAGCGTGTTGAACAGTCTCGGTCCTCTGATGTTAATAGAGTTCTCTCTCAGAGTACCTGTTGCACCTCTGCTTTTCAACGGGGGTATTCTGCACATCCTGCCATGTCTTCTGGTCTCATGTGATGTTATTTCTGTGTGCAGGTTTGGGACCAGCCCCTCTACTATTTTCCACGTGTAAATTATTATGTATCTCTCCCTTCTGCGCTCAAGATAATACAGATTTAGGCATTTTAGTCGGTCCCAATAGTTTAGATGTTTTACTAAGAGGATTCTAGCAGTAAAGGATCTCTGCACGCTCTGCAGATCGGCAATTTCTCCAGCTTTGAAAGGGGTTGTCATTGTGCAGCAGTACTCCACTCTAGAGAGCACTAGCGTCTTGAAAAGTATCATCATCGGTATAGCATCATTTTTCTTGCAGTTGTGACGGTTACTTTATTGTGGTCTTTAAAGGTAAGGTCTTCCGATATGAGTACGCCCAAATCCTTTACATTGCCTTTTCGTTCTATGTTATGATTTGACTGAGTTTTGTACGTGGTTTCCGCTTTTATATTTTCATTTTATCGGTAGCGCATGAGCTGGAACTTACCTTGTTAAACACCATATTATTTTCTATAGCCCATAGAAAAACCCGATTTATATCTGATTGGAGGTTTCCCGTGTCCTGTATGTTGTCTTCTCATAAAAATCCTAGTGTCATCTGCAAAGGATGAGACAGTACTATAGATTGTGTCCTTGTCTATGTGTGATATTAGGATGAGAAAAAGTACTGGCGCAAGCACAGTACCCTGGGGGACTGAGCTCTTCATGGTTTATTGTATTTTGTTGACTATTACACATTGGGTTCTGTTAGTCAGGAAATTGTAGATCCATCTGCCTATTTTTCCGGTAATTCCTTCTGAACGCATTTTGAGTGCAGTAACACCATGGTCACATTTGTCGAAAGCTTTTGCGAAATCTGTGTAAATTACATCAGCGTTTTGTTTTCCATGGCATCTAATGCCATATCATAGTGGTCCAGCAACTGACAGGCAAAGGCGACCTGTTCTGAATCAATGTTGTCTAGGGTTATGGAGATGCTGTGATTCCATGTATTTTGTGATCTTACTTCTTAGCACTCTCTCAAAGATTTTAATGATGTCTTATGTTAGTGTTATCGGTCTATAATTTTTTGCCTCTGCCTTATTTCCTCCTTTATGGAGTGGTGCTATCTCTGCTGTTTTTAGTATGTCAGGGATAACGCCAGTATCTAGGCTTTGTCTCCGAAGAATGTGAGGGGCCTGCGGTAAGTGTGTTTTTTACAGTTCTTGATGAATATAGAGTTCCAAGAATCCGGGCCTGGTGCAGAGTGCATAGGCCCACTGTCTATGACTTCTTCAAAATCCAGTGGGGATAGGGTGACGTCTGATATATAATTTGATATTGGTATCATATCCATGAAAAATTCATTTGGGTTATCAATCTTTAGTGTGTTTAGTGGCTCGCTGAAAACAGAGTCGTACTGCTTCCTCAGTAGCTCGCTCATTTCTTTGTTGTCATCAGTGTAAGTTCCATCTCCTTTTCACAGGGGCTCGATACTAGATGTGGTTTTTTATCTTGATTTTGCATAGGAGAAAAAATATTTCGGATTTCTCTCTATTTCACTGATGGCCTTTTGCCTCTCCTGAGTTTTGTATGATACTTGTAGCTTTAGTTCAATTGTTTCTATTTCTCTACCTAACCTTCTTCACCGTTCTTGAGATAGGGTGCGATTCTCAAGTTGTTCCGCGATTTGTTTTCTTCGCCTATATAGGGAACGACGTTCCCGTTCCAATCTGCATCTCTTCCTCTTTTTTCTTAGGGGTATGTTGTTTGAGCATATTTCTAGTGCTACTGAGCTTATTTTTTCCAGGCACTGGTTCAGGTTTGCAATTTCTAGTTGTTCTTCCCAGCCTTTTTCTGCGAGATCTTGGTTTATTTGCTCCCAGTTTATCGGTTTATTATTGAAATTGAATTTGCTGAATTATTCTCCACTGAGATTTGGGACTGGTTGTGCAGGTCTACTCCCCATGCTTGTCAGAACTTCAATTAAGTTGTGATTTGAGTAACAGGTATTTGTAATCATTATGTTCCTGATCAATTCATCATTATTGGTGAAAATGAGGTCCAGCGTGTTCTCCTTCCTAGTAGCTTCTACTATTTGCTGGTTTAAGGCAAACCTGTCACACATCCGTAGCAGGTCATTTGCAGGTCGTAGCAGGTGGAGGCAGACTCCATACACAGTTTGTAATGTAGATATGATGGAGCCCAGTAGGTTCAGGAAACTGTACACCAGTTGACTGACAGTTGAGAGGCAGGACCAAAGAGCCAGAGCCCAACCCCCACAAGCAAAACTAGGTGAGTACAAACCCTACACCACCTCCAGGCTGCCCTCCGCAACACGACGGAGGAGGGCAGGAGTGGCCCCACACCACCTCCAGGCTGCCCTCCGCAACAAGACGGAGGAGGGCAGGAGTGGCCCCACACCACCTCCAGGCTGCCCTCCGCAACAAGACGGAGGAGGGCAGGAGTGGCCCCACACCACCTCCAGGCTGCCCTCCGCAACAAGACGGAGGAGGGCAGGAGTGGCCCCCACACCACCTCCAGGCTGCCCTCCGCAACAAGACGGAGGAGGGCAGGAGTGGCCCCCACACCACCTCCAGGCTGCCCTCCGCAACAAGACGGAGGAGGGCAGGAGTGGCCCCACACCACCTCCAGGCTGCCCTCCGCAACAAGACGGAGGAGGGCAGGAGTGGCCCCCACACCACCTCCAGGCTGCCCTCCGCAACAAGACGGAGGAGGGCAGGAGTGGCCCCACACCACCTCCAGGCTGCCCTCCGCAACAAGACGGAGGAGGGCAGGAGTGGACGGAGGAGGGCCCCCACACCACCTCCAGGCTGCCCTCCGCAACAAGACGGAGGAGGGCAGGAGTGGCCCCCCCCACACCACCTGGCCCCACACCACCTCCAGGCTGCCCTCCGCAACAAGACGGAGGAGGGCAGGAGTGGCCCCCACACCACCTCCAGGCTGCCCTCCGCAACAAGACGGAGGAGGGCAGGAGTGGCCCCCACACCACCTCCAGGCTGCCCTCCGCAACAAGACGGAGGAGGGCAGGAGTGGCCCCACACCACCTCCAGGCTGCCCTCCGCAACAAGACGGAGGAGGGCAGGAGTGGCCCCCACACCACCTCCAGGCTGCCCTCCGCAACAAGACGGAGGAGGGCAGGAGTGGCCCCCACACCACCTCCAGGCTGCCCTCCGCAACAAGACGGAGGAGGGCAGGAGTGGCCCCCACACCACCTCCAGGCTGCCCTCCGCAACAAGACGGAGGAGGGCAGGAGTGGCCCCCCCACACCACCTCCAGGCTGCCCTCCGCAACAAGACGGAGGAGGGCAGGAGTGGCCCCCCCCACCTCCAGGCTGCCCTCCGCAACCTCCAGGCTGCCCTCCGCAACAAGACGGAGGAGGGCAGGAGTGGCCCCCACACCACCTCCAGGCTGCCCTCCGCAACAAGACGGAGGAGGGCAGGAGTGGCCCCCACACCACCTCCAGGCTGCCCTCCGCAACAAGACGGAGGAGGGCAGGAGTGGCCCCACACCACCTCCAGGCTGCCCTCCGCAACAAGACGGAGGAGGGCAGGAGTGGCCCCCACACCACCTCCAGGCTGCCCTCCGCAACAAGACGGAGGAGGGCAGGAGTGGCCCCCACACCACCTCCAGGCTGCCCTCCGCAACAAGACGGAGGAGGGCAGGAGTGGCCCCCACACCACCTCCAGGCTGCCCTCCGCAACAAGACGGAGGAGGGCAGGAGTGGCCCCCACACCACCTCCAGGCTGCCCTCCGCAACAAGACGGAGGAGGGCAGGAGTGGCCCCCACACCACCTCCAGGCTGCCCTCCGCAACAAGACGGAGGAGGGCAGGAGTGGCCCCCACACCACCTCCAGGCTGCCCTCCGCAACAAGACGGAGGAGGGCAGGAGTGGCCCCCACACCACCTCCAGGCTGCCCTCCGCAACAAGACGGAGGAGGGCAGGAGTGGCCCCCACACCACCTCCAGGCTGCCCTCCGCAACAAGACGGAGGAGGGCAGGAGTGGCCCCCACACCACCTCCAGGCTGCCCTCCGCAACAAGACGGAGGAGGGCAGGAGTGGCCCCCACACCACCTCCAGGCTGCCCTCCGCAACAAGACGGAGGAGGGCAGGAGTGGCCCCCACACCACCTCCAGGCTGCCCTCCGCAACAAGACGGAGGAGGGCAGGAGTGGCCCCCACACCACCTCCAGGCTGCCCTCCGCAACAAGACGGAGGAGGGCAGGAGTGGCCCCCACACCACCTCCAGGCTGCCCTCCGCAACAAGACGGAGGAGGGCAGGAGTGGCCCCCACACCACCTCCAGGCTGCCCTCCGCAACAAGACGGAGGAGGGCAGGAGTGGCCCCCACACCACCTCCAGGCTGCCCTCCGCAACAAGACGGAGGAGGGCAGGAGTGGCCCCCACACCACCTCCAGGCTGCCCTCCGCAACAAGACGGAGGAGGGCAGGAGTGGCCCCCACACCACCTCCAGGCTGCCCTCCGCAACAAGACGGAGGAGGGCAGGAGTGGCCCCCACACCACCTCCAGGCTGCCCTCCGCAACAAGACGGAGGAGGGCAGGAGGAGTGGCCCCCACACCACCTCCAGGCTGCCCTCCGCAACAAGACGGAGGAGGGCAGGAGTGGCCCCACACCACCTCCAGGCTGCCCTCCGCAACAAGACGGAGGAGGGCAGGAGTGGCCCCACACCACCTCCGGGCTGCCCTCCGCAACAAGACGGAGGAGGGCAGGAGTGGCAGTTTACCAAACACTCGCCAAAGTTCCCCCCGCGAAAGATCACTTATCGTCTTCAGGTTTTTTGAGCGGAAATTATAAGTTTGCCGAGGATATTTCCTTTGCTCTTGACACACGACCCGCTCTCGTTGGCCCAGAGCCGCGCCACCCGCAGCCCGGTGACCCGGGTCGCTGCCGAGGAGACGGCAAAATATTCGCCCATTTGTTACGGCGGAGATAACTGGCCCGCCAAAAAATATAGCGCGGGCTGGAGGCTGGGTTAACAACCCAATATCTCCATTCTTCCGGGAGAACGGTGTTTGTCCCCCCCCCCCCGACAGGTCGGGTAATGGTGGGGGGGGAGAGGGGGGGGGGTCTCAAGTCATCGCTTGTTTGTGAACATTTTAGTGAATGGGTTCGCGGGTGTGTGAGCATCCAAGTGGATGGGTGTGGGTGTGTGAGCATCCAAGTGGATGGCTGCGGGTGTGTGAGCATCCAAGTGGATGGGAGCGGGTGTGGGAGCATCCAACTGGATGGGAGCGGGTGTGTGAGCATCCAAGTGGATGGGAGCGGGTGTGTGAGCATCCGAGTGGATGGGAGCGGGTGTGTGAGCATCCGAGTGGATGGGTGTGGGTGTGTGAGTATCCAAGTGGATGGGTGTGGGTGTGTGAGTATCCAAGTGGATGGGTGTGGGTGTGTGAGTATCCAAGTGGATGGGTGTGGGGGTGTGAGTATCCGAGTGTATGGGTGCGGGTGTGTGAGCATACAAGTGGATGGGTGCGGGTGTGTGAGCATCCAAGTGGATGGGTGTGTGAGCATCCGAGTGGATGGGTGCGGGTGTGTGAGCATCCGAGTGGATGGGTGTGGGTGTGTGAGCATCCAAGTGAATGGGTGTGGGTGTGTGAGTATCCGAGTGGATGGGTGCGGGTGTGTGAGTATCCGAGTGGATGGGTGTGGGTGTGTGAGCATCCAAGTGGATGGGTGTGGGTGTGTGAGTATCCGGGATGGGTGCGGGTGTGTGAGTGGATGGGTGTGGGTGTGTGAGCATCCGAGTGGATGGGTGCGGGTGTGTGAGCATCCGAGTGGATGGGTGCGGGTGTGTGAGCATCCGAGTGGATGGGTGCGGGTGTGTGAGCATCCGAGTGGATGGGTGCGGGTGTGTGAGCATCCGAGTGGATGGGTGCGGGTGTGTGAGCATCCGAGTGGATGGGTGCGGGTGTGTGAGCATCCGAGTGGATGGGTGCGGGTGGAGCAACAGTACCGGGCTACACACCTTCAATTGTCGATCATGTGGTACAATCCCTTCCGCCCGCTGTTGTGAAAGGCGGGGGGCGGAGGAGAGGTGATAAAGTTAGGTTACAGCAGAGAGGGAATCAGGATAGATAGTACGGCACCGGTTGGGGTCATGTGGAAGAAGGTGAAGGTGGAGCAGAGGTGAAGGTGAAAGTTATGGTGGTAGTATTGGGGAGGTATATATGGGAGGCAGAGATGGGAGGAAGGGAAAAATACCACCCCGTTCGCCACACTTGGTCCGGGAGACATCTCCCGTCACGCAGGGTGCAGTTGCGCCTCCACAGATCTCCAGTATCATCTTTTGATACTGGTAATGGCTCGAAAGGGCCACCACTTACGGGCTATTCATGCCCGTGCCACCTCTTGGGTGACTTAATCTTTATTAATCGGGAGGAAGGTAGGGTGCAGTTGCACCTCCACAGATCTCCAGTATCAGCTCTAAATGCTGGTAATGGCTCCAAGGGGCCACCACTTACGGGCTATTCATGCCCGTGCCACCTTTTGGGTGGCTTAATCTTCAACAATCAATCAATCGGGAGGAAGGGCAGTGATAGTGTAGTCAGTAGAGAAGGGGGAGTGGGGACTGGGAGCGTGCAGATGGAGGAGCTGAGGAGTGACAAAGGAGTATAGATGCCAAAACTCTTCTACAAATTAGAGGTATCATCAGGCAACATCACCGCGACAAGGTTACCGAGGAGAGGAGGATAGAAGAACAAATTAGTGAATCTGTATGCTGGTACAACATGGCTGCAGCTGCCAATCCTAATCATTATGGACGAAGAGGAGGTGGCCGCGGGAGAGAATCAGTAATAGCAAGAATTCGTCTTGGATACAAATATCCATGGATATTAGGAATGGAAACACCAGTTGAGCAGAAGAGTTGCAGAATCTTCGGTGAGAGTGACGGACACCGCCTTGACCACTACCTGAGAGTGTGTGGGCATCTAAGAATCATTAGAAATATGTGTAGAATAATAAACCCTACATTGTTTGAGTTAGGAAAACACTATTTGTCAAATATAGATATTGTTCTTAAAAGATTCACCCATTTTGCACCCGCAAGATAACGTAAGCTTTTAAGGGTTGATAAATGTTAACCTTCTTGTTTGAGAAGCTGTTCACTTGAGACAGTTAAGAAGGTCCCAGCTAAGTCTGGGTAAAAGTGACAGGATGAACAACCCAGCTGGTTTTCTCCTTATTGGGAAGTGTTGTACATGCTGCTATGGCGGTGTGTCCACTCACAGGATGAGTGGCGCTGCCCAATAAACTCGCCCCTCGGGACCAAATTAAATTAAAATGGTTGAGTATGGAGGTAAAGAGGAGCAACACTGGCTAAGTAGGAAAGGTTGAAAGTACTGGAGAAGACTTTGCGACTAGTAGACAAGAGCTGGGGGTTGAGAGGTGGGAAGGATGACAGAACTGGTGAAATGGTGGGTCAGGGGAAGAGGATTAGGGAGGGGGTTCTTGAGGTTATCTTGAGATGATTTCGGGGCTTAGTGTCTCCGCGGCCCGGTCCTCGACCAGGCCTCCACCCCCAGGAAGCAGCCCGTGGCAGCTAACTCCCAGGTACCAGGAGCATCAGGGTGAAACAAATTCTGCCCCATTGTTTCTCGCCGGCGCCCGGGATCGAACCCGGGACCACAGGATCACGCGTCCAGTGTTCTGTCCACTCAGCCACCGGCTCCCTAAGGGGTGGGGGTGGATTTTCAATATCTTAATACACACCAAATTTAACGCGTAGACATTTCGGTGTTTACTTTAAAAGTTGCGTGTTTGTCTGTCGGTTAGAAGAGACTCCCCGGTCAGCACAGCCTAGTGACACCAATGTAACACACGGTAGGTCGCATCAATCACGCTTACAATACATACACAAAATAACTATAGAGATGTTCACTAGCTCTAACACACATTATATTTATTTCCAATTTCACATTCCACAGTATTAATTACTCGCACCCTGAGACCCTCGTCTGAACACCAACACAGTATATACAAGACAACAACTCTAAAGTAAGACATTATGCACACAAGAGGGCTGAACACGTCCTCCCGAGGGAGAAGTTACTAGTCAGGAAGCGTGATAAGTTAGAGCTTACGTCACGGTATTCACCTAGTTGTGTTTGCGGGGGTTGAGCTCTGCTCTTTCGGCCAGCCTCTCAACTGTCAATCAACTGTTTCTACTACTACTACTATTTTTTTTCTCCACACCACACACACCCCAGGAAGCAGCCCGTGACAGCTGACTAACTCCCAGGTACCTATTTACTGCTAGGTAAAAGGGGCATAGGGGGAAAGAAACTCTGCCCATCGTTTCTCGCCGGCGCCCGAGATCGAACCCGAGACCACAGGATCACGTGCCCAGCGTGCTGTCCGCTCGGCCACCGGCTCCCATGGGTGTAGGCCTCGGAATGCCTACTACCTCAAGTGAACATCTTCGCTTACACTTACGGGCTATTCATGCCCGTGGCACCTCTGGGGTGGCTTAATCTTCATCAATCAATCGCTTACATAACAGTCGCGGAGCATCCCGTTCTGGAGACAAACAAATGCTGGGAATTTGCATACGCTGGAAGTATCCACATTCCATAGCTATACACATGCCACGCAAGGCATGTGTGTGTATTAGTCCCTATCCAAACATTTCATGCAAAAATAAGGCTTTCGGCTGAAGTTGGTTCGTTGGGTAATTCAAGTGCCAACACGAGCCGGTCGGCCGAGCGGACAGCACACTGGACTTCTGATCCTGTGGTTCCGGGTTCGATCCCGGGCGCCGGCGAGAAACAATGGGCAGAGTTTCTTTCACCCTATGCCCCTGTTACTTAGCAGTAAAATAGGTACCTGGGTGTTAGCCAGCTGTCACGGGCTGCTTCCTGAGGGTGGAGGCCTGGTCGAGGACCGGGCCGCGGGGACACTAAAAAAAAAAAAAAAAGCCCCGAAATCATCTCAAGATAACCTCAAGATAACTAGGTAGTTGTCCTGCCGGTGGTGAGGTGGCCACGATGGTCCAGTGGACCCCGGGGTCGTCCAACCCAAGCCAGAGGACGCGGCCCAAACCACCTCACGTCTACTGAAGGCGACGGGGACCCCTGCACAAGTTCCGGAAAACTCTGGTTGAATCAGCCACCATGTTACCAACCTTAACCAAGCTCCACCTCCCTCCGCACCAGAGCGGTTGTGGCGTGTCCCAACCCACCTGAGACAACAAAGGAGAACAATGTTAACATTCTGTGGTAAATATCACTATTATATTTTACATATGAAATATTGAATAGTCAGCTAAGCACACCTAGAAGCCATGGGCTGTTTTGCCTATTAATCAAGGAGTTTGATGTCATATTTGCAAACAATGTCAGATATTAATAAATTATGAGATCATATTAATAACATTGATTACATTGGTGAGAATATAGATATACGTGGCATAATGAGGTAAGATTACGATGCGGTTCACCATGAACAGAACATATAGCTGAGAGTACGAGGAGAGGGAGCGAGAGGAGGAGAGGGAGCGAGAGGAGGGGGAGGAGCGAGAGGAGGAGAGGGAGCGAGAGGAGGGGGAGGAGCGAGAGGAGGAGAGGGAGCGAGAGGAGGGGGAGGAGCGAGAGGAGGAGAGGGAGCGAGAGGAGGGGGAGGAGCGAGAGGAGGAAGAGAGAAAGCAAGAAGGAAACTTGAAGGAGACAAGAGACGTAATAAGAAAACAATCAATATTGAGGCGGGCAGCCTCGCCCCTGTTGTGGCTTACCGCGTCCTTCCTCCATACCTCTCTTTATTCCTCTCCCTCCCTCCCTCCCCTACT